GGTAAGGGGGCTGAAATATCTGCCTATGTGGCTTCAGAGGAAAACCGATCAAGGTAGAAAATTCTCCACCCAAGGTAAAGTAAAGAGGGGATTTTTCAATGGGGATGTCTACCTCTTCAAGCCTTATTAGACACAGCCGATGAAGTGGATCCTGGGTCCAGCCACACTTGGTACGGCCAATGCTATGAGGACAATCAGTGGGCCCGACCAGCGTTCAGCTGATGCGACCTGGATTAAAAAATTACAAAACTCTCAGAATGTAGCTACCAGGGCCCTTGAGCCGTTGTGTCTCACGTTCAGCCCACTCCTACCCCTCGGGAATGTACTTTTGATTTTACTTAGTAAAATACCTTTTCTTTTCACTATTATTGTGTTTTATTCAATTATTTGTCATCACGGAAGTCATCCTACAGCAAGAACACACCTAACCTAACAGTAATTACCAGACGGACTAAATTCAGGAGAGCGCAAGGGTGGGTCCAGCCATGAGTACTAGGGCATTTAATGAGAACGTGGCCTGTGCTAATGGGAGGCCTGGGCATGTTGGCGAATAGGGTAGGATGTCACTATGGTCTGTCTTTCTTTGGAATATGCTGCATAGCTCCTTCATGACGGTAACTAGTGTTGTACATATGTAGGTGTAGGTTCTGTACATCCGAGAGTAAAGTGTGCCTCATGCTTATGTGAGAACTGTCAGTTGTACGTACTGTGAAAGAAAAGCAGTCCAGAGCAGTCTGTGGCCTGCACCGTCCATTTCGATCCTACAGGTATCAGTAAAGCACGGGCCTGAGACTTGGGTCACACCTCACGCCCATCAGGGTCATTGCCCCAACGGCATGCTTCCGTTTACTAGAAACGAGCTGTGAATGCCGCAAGACGATTGTAGACTACAGCGGGGCTCCCCTCCTTTCTTCTCCCCAGTCTTCTCTTTTTTAATAATTATTAATTTATTTATCATTATTATTATTTCTTTTTTTTTTTTTTGAGAGGTTTTCACTATAGGGCGCGTGCACTCGCCAGACAGAGAGAGAAACAGAGAGACAGAAAGAGAGAAATCACCCCCCAGAGGGGATGTTCACACTCCAATCCCTTCTCCTCCATTCTCCTCTCAGGATCTTGGGCATGCACGCACACCCACCCGGCGTGAGTTTTAAGCCACCGGGGACGCGAACCACCGCGGTTGACTACGTGGGAGTCCAGCAACATAGCCATTATGCTAACTGCTGGTTCCCCATTATTATTATTTCACATGAGTTTTTGCCAGAGAAAGACAGGCAGAAGGAGAGAGAGAGAAGGTGAGGAAGGAAACCGCCAGGTCCAGGATTCGAACCGCAGTTGGATATGTGGGAATTCCAGCACCTCAACCACCACTCCACCTGCTGGCCCCTTCCCAGTCTTCTTGAGTTGTGATGTAAAGAATAAGAAGCAGGCAATTGATTGTCTGCATTATTATTTTGTTTGTTTTTTTAAAGTATTTTTTTTAACCATAGGACAGGTGCACTCCTGAGAGACGCAGAGAGAGGGAAACTAAGAAATCACCTCCCGGGGGAATGGTCTCACAGCAATCCCTTTTCCAGTCTCCTCTTGGGATTTTGAGCATGCATGCACATGTTCCTTCCATGATTTTTGAGCCACTAAGTCCTGGACTCGAACCAGCAGTTGGCCATGTAGGAATGCAGTGCCTTAACCATCACAACACACGCTGGCTCCCTCTTTCCCACCACCATTTTTAAAGATCAATTTTAATTTTCTAGCATCTTCCCAAAATGGCAAATGAAGATTTTTACTTTTATTTTTTGTTACTAATTTGTGAACTCATGGGTTTAAAAATATTGAATGTGCTTCAGTTTATTGCAGGTATTATCCTTCTTAATGCCTAACGTGCCCTCTTGTTGTGAACCCATTACTCTTGTTTTCTGACATGATTTTATAAGTCATATCTAGCATTTTCTCTTTATAATTTTTGGTCTTGTTGCAATATTAAGCAAAGTATTGCATAGCCCAGGAATATAACATTCTTATTCTGTATTTTTTAATACTACTTGTAAGGAATGGGCTGACCATGTCAGAAAATACAAATGTAGAGCTTTTATTGGGAATGCTCCTGGGTGAGGTTCGCTAGTCTGACGGGGGGCGGGCAGTGTAGGAGGGAGGGCAGAGAAGTCACGCGCTAGGGTGGGGTTTAGCGATTTATATAAGGATATAGGAAGGGGGAGTGTCTTAGAGGTAGAAACAGTCTACGTATGGTAATGGTTTAGGAGGAGAGCAGACTACTGTGCCACGTAAGATCTGGTGCCGTGTGCAGAGTAGAGTGCCGTGTGCTACATCTGGGTTAGATCAGAGTGCAGTGCAGGTCTGATGACAGACTAGATCCAGGTTGCATCAGCCGACTGTAGTGTGGCATCCAACTCCTACATCCAAGCTGCCCAGGCCTCCAGCCTAACACTAATCTTATGGTTTTTATTTTTTTACAATTTAATACTTTATCCATTTTGAATTTATGATGATTTGGTGAGTATTTTATCTGAAAAAAATATTTCTGTGCCTGTGATTGGGGCTGGTTGGAGGCTGGGGGTGATTCATGGTGTTGGAAGACTGTGTTGTGGATGTTATCTCTCTGTTTGTTTGACTCTTGCTCATGGAAGAAATAAGCTTATTAATTAATTAAAAGAAAATTAATTAATTAAAAAAATGTACTGTCTCTGCAGCACAATGATTAAGGGAGTTGGATTCACATGGCTGACCATGGATTGACTCCTAGCCCTGGCAGCTTGAAACACAAACTGGGCGTGTGTGTGTACCCACGATCCTCATGGAAAGGAGAAATGAAGAAAAAGAGATTGTAGTATGACCACACCCCAGCGGGGAGTGATACATCTCTCTCTCTCTTTCTCTCTGACAAGTGCACAGCCCTCTGGCAATTAAAAAGAGAGAGAGGGACCAGCAGATGGTGAAATGGTAATATTGCTGGATTCTCACATGGTCGATCATAGTTTGAGTCCTGCACTTAGTGGCTTAAAATTCATATCAGGTGCGTGTGTATCCCAAGAGGAGAATGGAGGAGAGGAGATTGTGGTGTGGTCATCTCCACTGTGGGGTGATTTCTTGCTTTTTGTCTCTCTGCTTCTCTCTGTCTCTCCAGGTCCTGGATTCGAACCAGCAGTTAAACCATGCACCCTACAACAAAAATCTCTTTCTACAAAAGAGAGAGAGTACATGGGATCTTTCCATATAATTTTCACAACCACAGATCTCTGATAATTTGAAAAAAAAATTTTTTTGGAGAGGTTTTTCGCTATAGAGCGTGTGCGCTCGCCAGACATACAGAGGGAGACATAGAGACAGAAAGTGAGAAATCACCCCCCGGGGGGATGACCACGCCACAATACCTTCTCCTCCATTCTTCTCTCGGGATCTTGGGCATGCATGTACAAGCGGGATCTTGGGCACGCATGTACAAGCGCCCGGTGAGAGTTTTAAGCCACCGGGTCCGGGACGCAAACCGTGGTCAACTACATGGGAGTCCAGCGACATAGCCATTATGCTAACTGGTGGTTCCCATAATTTGAAAATTTTAATAAAAAAGCCCATGTAATTTGTCATGCTTTTGTTGTGGTTGGGTTATAGTTTATTTTTATTCAAATGGTTAGCTAAACATCCAACTGCTACATATCTTGGTGGTAGAGATGAAGTAATTATAGAAGTTACACACACCTTTATGTGATCATTAAAAAAAGTCTCTAAAAAGCAAATATTTAATAACACAAACAATTTTACATAATTATATCTTAAGTTAAAAATCAGAAAGTGAAACTACATATTCGGAATATTTTTAGTTTCGTCACTTAAATGCACAGGAAATAGTGCCATATTAATGAAGAGGGAAAAGACTAGGTTAACAATGGAGAAATTGGGAATTTCTGAGAATTTGGGGGAATTTCTGTTGTTGTTATTGCTTTTCCAGTCCCTTGAGATGTGATTTTAAGTTACTAACTTGCCACATTCCTATTTTTGCCTTGTGAGCAAATGATAACGAACTTCCCTCTTCTGCTTGCTATACTTGGTCCCAAAGGTTATAAAGAGTGGTGTGTTCATTATTGTTGTTTCCTTTCCTTTTCTTTCCTTTTTCTTTTCTCTTTTCTTTTCTTTTTAAACATTTACTAAATGCCACTGACTTGGAATCAGTCGAAGTGCTCATGAGTAGTGATGTATCTGTGAGTAGCTGTTTTAGGATCAGCCCTTGAGGAAAACACACAGGCATGAACCGGGCATGACACAGTAATGGGAAGTGGGCAGTGCTACAGTATACATTTGGTTGAGCATCTTGAAGGACACGATGCTTTTAAAGTACACTTTTTCACAGACATAAGAAACAAAACATGAAGTCACCTACAGTTAAACAGTACAAAGTTCTGAAAGTGAATGGCAACTTCTGGTCAAAATCTGAACATGGTGAAAGCAGCAAGCTAAAATTGTCCCTCTCCAACAGTTTCATTGGTCACTTAGTATTAGGCCAAGGTAATGCATATTCTGGTTTTGATTCTTCAAGAATAGCCCACAGTTGTTAAGTTTCAGTCTCTGCACAAAACTGGTAGATAATATTTATACTGATACTTATTCTCAAAAAACATAAAATCAGTGCTGGTTCTTGCTATCACGGAAGAATAGCTACAATATAATTCTGTCAATGCTTTAATCTAACTCTTCAGCGTAGACGGAGAAAGACATAAAAACACAAATGGACATACTGTATACTGTCAGCTCGTGAGAACACAACTCTACATACTAGTTACTCATCTCTCTTACTGTACTGTTAGAGGACATCTGACAATCTTAGATTTCACAAAAACCACCGCCAGAAGGCAAAAGAATACCCCTTCATTCTATAATATGAAGAATTAGTGAAGTCATGATCTATTAATACTGAATCACAAACCCAAGTTCAAGTGTGCTGAGTTTTAAACAGTAGGAGGTAGTGGCCACCAGCTTTCAGAATAAGGCTACAGGAAACCAGGCATGAAGTCCACAGGAGATGAGGATGCTCCCAGAATAGTGCTGCTCCATGTAGGACACAGAACTTTCAGGATATAATCAACGAATAAACTGGAGACCTTCTCACTCTCCTCCTTCATGGCATGAAGAATGTTTGTTAGTATCTGGAGATCTTCAACAGATGGTGGTCCATTTTTCTTCTCATAAAAAATGACTGTGGTCAAATATGTGCCAGGCATGTGACTTCTCTTGTTCTTCCCATTCTGAGAGCCGCCATTTTCGAGTTTCTTTTTCGTTTTGGCTGTTTCTTTGTGCTCTTTCTGTTTATTTTGCACTTCACTAAGAACAGAAATAAAGCTGTTTTTCACTTGCTTCTCAAACTCCAGTTCATTCTGTAGTGCCCATTGCTGCACCAGCTCCTTTAAGTACTCCTTAATGGTGGTCTCGATTTCTTCCAGTTGTTCATTTAGTTCAGACCCTGACAGCCTTTTTACTCTCTCGTTATAACTGTTGTACTGGACCTCTTAAGAGTTTGAATTTCCTGCGAAAGCATTGAAAGCCAGTCTGACTGTGTGGAGATTTCCTCATCTACTGGGTCCAGTGATTCCTGCATAATTTCATCAATAACCTGATCTGCAAGTGAAGAGGGGATCGTCGTTAACACAGGAGACTGTGATGGAATACCTATCCAGCTGTTCTTCCAGCTCTTCATCATCTGAAGTATCAAAGAGCAAGCCGTCACTCCTTTTTCTGACAGGTTCAGAGTAAGCAAATGCAAGGTCCTCGTATGGGACGACTTCCAGTCCACAGGCACTATGCTTCCATAATTGTGGGTCAGGGCATCCAAATTGTGTCCCAGGAGGTCCAGTCTCTAACTACAGGCAGTACTAGAGACGCCTCAAACAAGGGCTGGTGTCCAGAAAGGGCCATTATTGTTGTTTTCAATGAGTCTTTTTATTTCAGCCTTAATTTCTTCAGTAGTTTGAAAGTTGTTTGAAAGTAGGTTGTTTTGTTACATTTTCAAAATAAGTAATGGTACTGGGGAAGAAAACACTGTCCAGGAGATCTTTGAAGAATGAGCTTCCTACCTACCTCTATTTATGCAAACTGAGAGTGCTGGGGATAGCAATAGTGCCTGTCTGTGTTTATGTGAGTGGGGATTATGTGTATTTATGTATGTGTGTATGTTTGGTCCTTTAGAAAAACTTTCATTTTACAAAAGAGATGTCAGAGTGTGCCAAAATCTTCATAGCTCCAAAGGCTGATTTGTTTACCTCTACTGTGAAAGTAAAGTTTTAAATGTGAAATGGTGTTATGTTCTATTGTTGCAGAGAATATTTAGATTGTAGGTAGACCTTAACTTAGTTAAGAATATATGGAAATTGGAACCAGCAGATAACGCAGAAGTTACGTTGCTGGACTTCCACATGGCCAACTGCAGTTCATGTCCCAGACCTGGCGGCTTGAAATTCACACTGAGTATGTGTGTGCATGCGTGCCAAAGATCCTGGGAGGGGAATGGAGAAGAAGGGATTGTGGCGTGGCCATCCCCTCTGGGAGGGGGATTTCTCAGTTTTCCTCTCACTGTCTCTGTCTCTGTCTCTGTTTCTCTCTCTCTAGTGAGTGCACGCGCCTGAAGGCAAAAATTTCTACAAAAACAAAAAGAAATTTGTGGGAATTAATACACTGTGATGGACTAAAGTAGAATTTTGAAATCAATTAAGAAAACTCATTTGTCAAAATGATACCATTTCTAAATTGAATTGTGTATGAGATACTTACCTTCATAAAATTATTTTGCCTAACAAGGAATATGGACAGACAGCAAATGAAGAAATTCTGATATTCAAGGTAGATTTCGTAAAGCTTTGTGTGTGTGCGTTTGTGTGCATGTGTGCGTGTGTGTACATGTGTATGTGGATATGTATGCTTGCATTATTATCAGTTAAACCTTTTATGAAAAACAAGGAAATATTTCATGTCACAATATAAACTTTAAGAGACAAAACAATAAATTTAGGCAAGACACGGAGGTTTCTTTCTTTCTCTATAATGCCTGACTGGCCGCCCTCATAGGTAACCACCAAATAAGAAGCTTTTGTAAGACCATATTTTAAGGACAATTTAGTATAGTTTATTAGATGTTTAGAAGGTCGTTGTATAATAACCACAAATACAAGGTAGCAACTGAGAAATCAGGAACCCATTGTAGGCATAGGCAAGAAAGGCCGACATTGTTAAACAATAGAAACGTCATGAACACATGCTAAGATGCTAGAAACAAAATACTGGGAACCCAGACTGCATTGGTGTGAGATCAGGACTGTGGCCACGATTCAGGTGCTGGGATGTGTCCACACTGAGGAATTTAATTATTCCTGTTGTTTTACATTATCAGGTCAAAGGTACGCAAGAAGGAAAGCTTGAGAAGAGCCCCAAAACAAGGTCCCCAAACAGATCGCAGAGATCAGTCAGTCTCACCCAGCAGGGAAGGGCAGTCAGGAAGCAGCAGCCAGGAAGCGGGGTAGGGAGTCACTCCTTATCACTACCGTCCAGGGCAGAGGCCAGACCTGCCTCTCCCAGGAGCAGCCAAACACGTAGCATCTGCCAAGTATAACAGTACCAGGACCATAACGCTTCAGAAGAATCATCAGGAGGTTCTCCATCTTGTCTTTGGATGACCTTGTGTAATAAGTCCATTGCAACTACCTTCAAAATGAAAACAATTATGTAAATTATGGAGCCTGAGAGCTGAGGAGGAATGTGCCATCACATCTAGATGACAGGGTGAGTGTGGGGCAGACAAGATGGGATGGAGGAGGAAAGCTCTAGCAATAAGAACAAGGTGACTCTTGGTAGCTCCAACAGAACAGGAACCAGCAGCACCACCTAGAGCCAGGCCGGCCTCCTAGCAGCAGCACTGCTTCTTGCAGCAGCACTTCTGCTGGCAGCAGCACTTCTGCTGGCAACAGCCCTTCCCACAGCCACAGTCACATGGGCCACAGCCACTGGAGCCGCTGGTGGCGCAGGC